ACTGTTCCACCCTCTGACTGCTGAAGGGGCGTGTCTTAGAGAGAGGCTTTTATACCAGAACACAGCCGCTGTGACGAAACCGTGGAGAAGACACGTCACCGTGGAGAGCCGTTAACCAATATGTAAATTAGCCTGCAGTACCACTGCTCTACCCATATGAGCAGCAAAAAGACGTTTTTAGACCAAATATTACAGATTTGAATACGCACAAAAACATCAAAATTAGCACAGAAACWGTACTATATAACATTTTAGACACATTCTAGACAGTTTATCAGCTAAAAAAGTTAATTTTGGGGTAAGTTACAATTTAAAACTGACTTCTAAAATGAAATGACTTCAACACTGAAGGTTTCTCCTGGGGTAAAGTAAAAAGTCAAAACGAGACGTTCACCTGAGATAAATCCTGAGGAGCAGAAATAAATCCTGCTAGAAAAAATAGAACTTTCTGACAAAAAAAAGGCATAAAGTCTGAAAACTTAATTGAAATCTGACAAAAAAGAAGCTGAAACAGAGTTGAAACAAACAAAACAGAATCTAAATTCTAGCAAAAAAAAAGCTATCATTAGTAAATCTGAAGCTAAAGGCTAAAGACAACCAAAACTGTAGCTAAAACTTAAACTACAATGAATCAAACAATAGCTAAATGTCAAATTATTGTTAAATAATAGCTAAGCTGCAAAATGGTAAATAAAAACTAAAATAACAAAACAGCAGCTGAAAGCTAATACTATTAAGGAATAAGCCAAACGCTCAAATGATCAGACCAGTGGCTAAAAACTAAAATAGCATAACAATTCAATTCAATTCAAAAATACTTTATTGATYCCAGAGAGAAATTAGGGGTTGTTGTAACTCATTTAACTAAAAACTTATTGTAGCTGCTGATGGCTGTGGGCAGGAAAGATCTTCTGTAGCGTCTGTATTACAGCGAAGTTGAAGAAGCCTCCGACTGAAGACACTTTGTCTTTGTCAACAGTAGCTGTAAGCTAAATTTAGCAAACCAGTAGCTAAAAGTTAAAAGTAGCAAAATCATTTGCTATTTAGTAAATTTTGCAGAACAGTAGCTGAATGCTAAAATTAGAAAACCAGTAGGTAAAAACTACAATTATCCAAACAGAAGCTGAAATGTAATTAGCATAACAATAAAATTGTACTTGATAGCTAAAATAATCCAAACAAGAGCTAAAGTCTGAAATTAACACAAAAATAGATAAAAAAAAGTCAACGAACAAAACTTTAGCTACAAACTAATACTACTAAAGGAGCCAAAAGCTCAAACAATACAGCCAGTAGCTAAAACCAGCATAATTAGCAAACCAGCAGCTAAAAGTGAACATTTGTAAAACCTATGCTAAAAGGTAAAATTAGCAGAACAATAACCAAAACACTAAAATAGCTTTAAGCTATTGTGCTTATTTTAGGTTTTATGATGAACAAATCTGTAGCTAAAAGCTAATACTAAAGAAGGAGCCATAAGCTCAAATGTACAACCCAGAAGCTACAAACTAAAACTAGCACAATAGCTACAAGCTAACTTTAGCAAACTAGTAACTAAAAGTGAAAATTAGTAAAACCTATGCTAAAAGGTCAAATCAGCAGGAAGCTAAAACACTAAGCTAACAGTTACAGCTTTGTTTTATAATGAACAAAACAGTAGCTAGAAGCTCGAGTGATCAGACCAGTAACTAAAAAAGTAAAACTAGCACATCAGTAGCTRMARGCTAAAATGAGAAAAACAGTAGCTAAAAGTGAAAAGCAGCTATACAGAAACYAAAAAGTTAAACCAGAAAAACAGTAGCTAAAGGCTAAAATGAAGCAAATRTACTGAAGTAGCTTTGGAAACTCTCCCTGAACTCAGTTTTCTGATTGTCATGTTGAGAGCTTCACTTGTTCATTACTCCGTCTCTAACTGCATCTATCGGCTCCATCTGCCTCTCCTTCACAAAACAACTGCCTGCTGTGGTGAAAAACACGACCGAGAGGAGAAAAAAACTGAACAGGGAGCTGAAATTCAATATAAAGCTGCGGGTTTTAGCCGATCCCAGATAAAGACAGGAGACTTAAACCAGCTCACATGACATCATGGTGTCTTCAGAACTAATCTGTCGTCTGTGAATCACATCGAGAGCCGGCTGCTGGTCGTCTGAGGAGTTCGTCGGACAAATCTGAGCCGTTTCAGGAGGTGGAGGATGGTTTATTGTCAGCAGACAGAAGGTTTTCTTCTATATTAACATTTAGTTTCTGTTAACGTAAAATAAAGGCTTTTTATCCCATCAAACATTATAGTGGAAAGAAAAGAAAGCAACATATGAAAGATAGAATAATATATTTTATGACTCAGAACTTCTGATTCTAAAGAAGCGCCTTCAAATGTTTCTTTTTTTTTTCTGATTCTGCCAGACTTTTGATTTCCAAGGTGTCAAACGTTTTTTGTGATTGCGGGGAAGGTTTCACTCGGGGTGAAGAAGAGTGACGGCGTTTTCTGTCCGACACCCACTGAGGCTGAAAGGAAAGCGGCAACAGTAATTTACAGGAGGAGCGTAGCGCCGATAAGTTCATCAGACCAGGGCTGCAGAACCTGTTTACAGTCCAGGTGTTTCGAAAACCACATAGACGAGGACTGATTCTCTGAAGGAACGCAAGCCGTCTGTCTCAAAGTTTTAAACAAACATCTTGCAGAATCTGTTAGTGCTCAGATTATGGGCTAATACTACGCCAAATCTTAGCTCAATATCTGCAAAACTGACTGAGTTATGGTGATTTTTGTGTCCACAAGCTGTGGTGGTCCTCCCACATTCGACAAACTCCAAAGAACACACAGTCTGCATGGTTTTGTATGGAATTTATGATCTGTCACACATGGATTTCTCTCCCCGCTGCAGAAAACAACACGAAGCAATTTGAGCTTTCATAAAAACCCACTCAGCTTCCTGCACAGTCCAGAGAAATACAGATTTGAAGAATGTGAAACAAAAAAAAGGAGTCATAACACACCTCTCTGTTGTTCCTCTGCAGGGATGAAAACACAGAGAGAGAGTTCAGAAAAACCACAGGATGGAGGAGCTGAAGATTCAAGATCAGAAGAACCCTTGAAACAACAATCTGTGTGGCCACACAAACAAAGTTTGTCTCTCCACGGTCGCTCTGTTCCCTCTGCTGCTGCTGCTGCTGCTGAGCGAAGACTCAGCCGGATCGATGAGACTCCCACCGCAACAGTGGGCTTTCAGCTGCAGCAGACAACAGCTCCTATTAACACTCGACTCGCACACGTTAAGTCGATGCTCCTCTGTGCTAATCTGACAGGGATCCCTGAAGTTCAGAGGTAAACAATGAGTCTGCTTCTTTACAACGAAAGGACCCAGCTTCTCTTTATCGTCTCTACAAATTTATCCAAGTGTGCATTTAAGACATCGATCAGGCTGAACAACAATAACACATGCTGCAAAACAATCACTAATCTGATCAAGGGGGATTTCTTGTTTTGAGTTGAAGTTTATGTTCTGACTTTTTCTCTATACAACATTTGTCAAACTCAAGGCCCGCAGGCCAAATGTGCCCACCATGGTGTTTTATGTGGCCCGCAAGAGCTTCAAATATGTAATAGTCTTAAAATAAGCTGCTTTAAAGCCCGTTTGGACCATAAACTACATCTCCCATAATGCATGTTGATTATTTACCTGCAAAATGATGGCCTCCCACCWCTAGGTGGAGGTGCAAAGGGTTCAAAATTAGCCAACACGGTAAAATTCACAGAATAAAAACTACATTTCACTCCATTTTCACCAACTTCTTTTCCTGCAGCCCAGTTGTACTGGGGAGTGGGAATTTCCCACTTACAAGTGGTAAATTTAAACTGGAATGCCACTCCATTGGGAATTCCCTGTTGGAAACTGGGAGAGCTCAGAATTCAAGATGGCAGCTACTCACCACAACTCAACAGTGAGTAAAGCTCTCTTACTTTTACTTTTAACAGTATTTCTGTATTTATTTCACATCTAGTCAGTCGTACATGTAGTACTTTTTAGGTTTTATAAGAGGACGTGTTAAAACACTGTGTTGTTTACTTTACATCAAGTCAGTGGTACTTGTAGTACTTTATGGTGATATGTTTAAATGCTGTTTGAACACTCAAAATGCAGCTTAGAGCGCTACTGTTGAAAATGTTGTTTTCTTCCGTCTGAGGAAGAAATATAAAMCCTTTTTTCCAACGTTGATGAGCTGGAAACTGGAACGTTTTCAACTCAGAGCAACGCAAACACAGCAAAAGTTTATTACAATCATAATGCTCAGGTGTCCCTCGGTGCGTTAGTGCTCCATACCATCAGATAAGTCAACGTAAAGTGATTTACCGTATTTATTCATGTAAAATACGATCATCATTTTTTGAGCTAAAAAGGATTAAAAATCGAATTATCAATAACCCGTGTATAATACTACTCCCCCACTTTATGGATGATTTTTAGGGTTAAATTTCTAGTATTATACATGAATAAATACAGTAAATGTTGAATGAATTTGCAGTGAAATCTGAGGYAGATGTTTATGCTCAAAAACACTCAGAAAAGCACAGTTGTTAGAGTCTTCTGCGTCAGACTTGTTGCCAAAGTGAAGCAGTGCCTCCTCACATTACATTCCTACATTGTTGCCAACATTTGAATGCAATCAGGGGTCCTGTGTTCAGGCTTTTATTTTGGTAAAAACAGTTGTATTTGTTCAGTCAGGAGGAGGAAGTGGTCGGATTTGATGATAGGTTTGTTGACCTCATCAGCTATTTGCAGATGATGTGGTCCTGTGGGCGTCTGATCTGAGGTCATGGTCTTTAGTCCAAAACGGGAGGACTGACTGACTGAACTCTGGGTAGGCAAGAGATTACAGATACAAGTGGTCAAAATGAGTTTTCTCCACATGGTAGCTGGACTCTCCCTTAGAAATGGGATGAGAAGTTCAGTTACAGAACAAAAACAGAAAACCAAAACGATGTTTTCTGCCAGGCTCACCGTGACGATAAGACCCCTCTCCTGGAAGTACTTGACCAGAGGAATGGTGTTTTGTTTGAAGTTGGTCAGGCGGCGGTCGATGGCCTTTGGATTGTCGTCGGGTCGTCCCTGCTGCTCGGCTCGTTTCTGCAGCCTCTCCTTCAAACGGTGGTTGGTGCAGGCCAGGAAAACCACCAGGTCCGGAGTGCAGATCTGTAAAACACAGGAGCCATTAGAGTCAGTCCAACGCTGGGATAAACTGTGATTCAGACAGGAAGTTGTTCAAACACCTCAATAAAAAACATCCTGTAGAAGAMGAAAAAAATGGGGAAATAACCTGTCAAATGTAGTTATTTTCATTTGTCTTTCATAATAAAATATTAAAGAATGAGACTGGACATGCTCATAGGAAGTATTTAAAGGTTTCTGCTTCGTGACGAGGCGGTTGGTGCCTCCTGACTAACTGTGATCACAATGTTTCACATCGTCCCTACATGTGAATATCAGCATCACGAATAATCTTTAGCTGATTTATAGGCAAATAATTCTGTTTTCTTGAATCAACAATCATTAAATAAGAAAAATTAAACAGTTTTATTTTTAAACAAGTAAAATTACAAATATCTGCAAACTGAAGGTTTATTCTGGAGCAGAATAGCTCCAGAAATCTCTTTAAAAGCAGAAGAAGATCGTGCAGATGAAGTTATATTTAACAGCAGCTGCTCAGAGCAGCGACTCTAAAGCTGTGTCACAGTTTAGATTTAACCACGACTACGGGACAGATTCATGCAGCTTCATCCAAGAGACCTGAGACTGAGTGAAGAAAGTCTGAGAGGGAGAGTCTGYCGCCTGACAGCCCTGAAATTAATCAGGAAGGTTTAAAATTAAATTTAAATTAAACAGGAAACCAATTCTGAGAGACAAGAGCCTGAGAGGACGAGCCAGCTCTTCTTTGAGCCACTCAGCATCCTCATGGTCTGAAACCGTCTGCAGGTAAATTATTGACAACAGCGATCTAAGTCAGGAGACGTGACAACATGAATTATGAAGAAGAAGAGGTTGGATCAGAAAGTATGGGTGCTTAAAGACAAAGAATAAAAAACGAACATTTCTGAAGAAGCAAGTGAAGCTTCTGTTATCCATCCATCCATCCATCCATCCATCCATCCATCCATCCATCCAATCAGCCTTCTAATTCTCTCCATCAACTGGTCCGATCCATCTATTCATCCATTGATATATACGTCTACCTACATACATACAGTTATGTGTCCTTATATATTTGGACACTGACACAAATTTTGTCTTTTTACCTGTTTACTGAAACATATTCAGGTTATATTTATATAATGTACATGGACATAAAGTCCAGACATTCAGCTTTCATTTGAGGGTATCCACGTTAAAACTGGATGAAGGGTTTAGGAGTTTCAGCTCCTTAACATGTGCCACCCTGTTTTTGAAGGGACCAAAAGTAATTGGACAATTGACTCCAAGGATATTTCATGGACAGGTTTGGGCAATCCTTTCATTATGTCGTTCTCAATGAAGCAGGTAAAAGGCCTGGAGTTGATTTGAGGTGTGGTGCTTGCATTTGGAAGGTTTTGCTGTGAAGTAAACATGCGGTCAAAGGAGCTCTCCATGCAGGTGATGAGTTCAAGACTTCAGGCAGTCATTGCCAACAAAGGGTTTTCAACCAAGTAGTGGAAATGAACATTTTATCTACAATTATTTAATCTGTCCAATTACTTTTGAGCCTCTGAAATGAAGGGATTGTGTTTAAAAGATGCTTTAGTTCCTCMCATTTTTATGCAATCATTTTGTTCAACCCACTGAATTAAAGCTGAAAGGTCTGAACTTCAACTGCATCTGAATTGTTTTGTTTAAAATTAATTGTGGTAATGTCTAGAACCAAAATTAGAAAAATGTTGTCTCTGTCCAAATATATATGGACCTAACTGTACATACATACATACATACATACATACATACATACATACATACAACTTTAAAGCTCAGCAGTAATTTGGGATTTAGATGCCAAATATTTGCTGTATGACCTGTAAAATAAGAATTCATTCACTTCATTTCTTCTTCCTTTTCTTCATTCACATAAAAATCAGAGTCTGAGTCTGATCTGGCTCACTGCCAGGGACAAAAATAGCTTGAATGGCGTCGACAGAGATGTGTGCCACTGTTTTGAGTCAAAGTTTCAGTTTCCATGGTGACCACACACACATAATTTCTCTAAGATCGTGGCGAGTATAGGACGCTGCGGTCATTTGTTTTGAGGAGTTTTAACATTTAGCTCGCATCACATGGGAAAGATGAAGATTAACTCTGTTTGTTTTGAGCCAGCTGTTTGGTCTGTTGTTAAAAAGCTGGAAAACAATATAATTACATAATGTGCACAAGAGAGCAGATGTTGACCCGATCTCTGCAGCTAACATCCATTTAGAGATGTTCTTCTGAATGCACCAGATCTCAGTAAAGTAACTTAATAAATGCAGAACAAAATWAATTGGTGGCAGCAATAGAAGCAGCTTCCTGTGAGGCTGCAGTGGACAGTTGGTCTTTTATGAAACAATATTATTATTAGKTTTTTTTCTGAAAGGAGCGACGGACTTAGCCTTTATGCTCACGCAAAATAAGAACTTAGAACGTCCTTTAATTAGCTCATCATGGATGTRGCATTAAAACATGAATAAAGACATAAATCCAGAGACGTTTTTCGTAATTTTATTAATTCTTTTCTGCTTCTCTGTGAGTTTGTAGCTGCTGATATTCAAGTAAACCTCTGTCTGACCTCATTGCACTGCAAAAACTGTCCATCTTACCAAGTTTTAAAATCTTACATCCAGCCAAAAAGTCTTTTTGATCTTGTTTTGAGACTGATTTACTAAACAAGAACTGATTGTGTAAGAATAATCATCTTGTTTTCAGAATGTGTGAGATTATTTGTCTTAAGTCTGAAAATTTGACTCAAATTAAGTCAAAATATCTGCCAGCTGAGCAAGAAAATTTGACTTGGTAAGATTCTTGAAAAAAGAAAAAAATTGAGTCAAATCAAGTATTTCAATAAGTCTTACCAAGTAAAATTTTCTTACTCAAGGCGTTTAGAAGAGAACGTGATGAGTAGATAAGTTTATTTTCTATTTAAACATAAAACAGCATTTTAATATCAACTAAAGGTGACATAGATACTTTATTATGGTATAGTATTTAAATGKATGCCTGAGAAACACATAATATTGCCCCTTTAACAAATTACTGATTGCTGAGGTTGTGTGATTTCATGCWGTGGGTTCAGACTTCCCTGAAGGCCGACTGACAGCGAAGAACAGATAAACTCTGGACTGCTTTTCTGAAAAGGTTTGAAAAGAGGATGAAGGGGGTAGAAGGTCTCTCTGGACGGCTATAAAGGGAGCAGCAGAAGCTCATAAATGGCTGCTGTGATGCTGTAAAGGGCAAAGCGTCAGCATGGGGTGAGTAATGAAAATAGATGGTGCAGGTCCATGGAAGACCGCACCGTCATCCCAACGCTGGGGAATACAGGATAGAAAAAATAAATAAATAAAAGTCCTGAACCTTTCAGGATGAAAAGCATTTGATGCATAAAGCAGCACCTAAATTGTTTGAAAGTCTGTGTATCATCTTTAACCCTTTGTAGGACATGATAGCTTTTGTTTTCCTAAGTTGCGAGTGCAGCTAGAAAGTTTTTTCTTTAATTTCTTTATAACTTCACAGCATCCAGACCAGTTTCCACTCTGCCATGGATTTTTTTTCCTCCTGACGATTATTGTAGGGTTAGAGTAGACTACCAGACTGACGATAAAACTGCATACAGGCTGTGGGGGGTCTCTACGTGCCAGTATATGGGGCAAATTTACTAAATTTAAAAAGGTAAATAAATAATTATTAGTGATCATGTGTCTAAAAAAACTGCAATGCTTAATGGAGTCCCACAGGGAGGAATTCTGGGTACCTTTAGTTTTCTTTTTCCTCAAAAACGTGGCGTTTCTTACTGTTTAGACAATCTTTCTTTAACAAAATAAATAAAGCAGTGTTGAGCAGTTAGAAGTCATTAATTTCCCCGTACTCTGGTTTAAAGCTGTGTTTCAGATAATTAAACAAGTTTATTGCATTAGCATAAGCTCCACATTAATTCAGTTTGATTCAATTCAGTTTATTTGTACCAAATCACAATTGTTGTCTCAGGGCACTGCACACAAAAAAAACAATAAATCTAAAGAATTATTAGTTAGGTTTTTTTGTGTTGACTCCATGTTAACATTGGTGTTAGCTCCACATTAGCATTGGTGTTAGCTCCACATTAGCATTGGCTCCGCACATTTGTGTTAGCACCACATTAGCATCAACATTAGCTCTGCACTGCAGTGTCAATATGTCACTAATCGTGGCAATTGCAAAGTGCTAAAAACTAACCTGTGGCAGTTTTTCTAACAATTAATTGCAAACAGAACAATTTTGCCCAACTCTTCTCTTACCGTACATTCACTTACTTTCCATGTGGGCAGTCTAGAAATAAAAATTAAAGAAATCAAAGCTATATTTAATGAGGACAAGCCTAAGGGGAACCCCATATCTGCAGGAACAGAAACAAAATGCTGTCCCTCAGAGTTCTCTCCAGCAACTTTGAAAAACTAGGTAAAACCTTCACAACTATATGTTCCAAATAGATTAAATATTCAAGTCKGAATGATTTCTTGTGCTTTAACATAAAGTTTCCAGACTATCCAACTAAGCTACCGGTACCTCCTTTTTCTGTCTGGCTTCTTTAACTTTATTCCCTACAGTTGTTTCCTTTTTCTTTTTTATCTTTCTTCTACTTTTTCTCTCCAC